CCTATCAGGCGGCCATACGGACGAACTCATAATAAATTGACCCTAATAGAGTTCCGTTTTTCCCGTTTTGAATTACTCTCTAAACTACGCAATTGATTTTAAAACACGTACACGAATTCATATTTTAAACTTCTTAGTAGCATTGGGCGTCTAAATAATTTATAGTTTTAATTAAAGCGATGCTGCGGCTTAACTTCATATTCTTCAAATAAGTAGTATTTATTCATAGATCAAATTCATAAATAATATTAATGGATTTAAAAAAATGTAAAATATCAGTGCCTTTTTCCTGTTACACTCTTTTTTTTTCAGGCGGTAAAAAAAATCACCCAGTATATGTCTCATAAATCAGACAAATCATTGGCGCGCCCTATAGTAGAAATATTTCGCAAAATGGACGCTGACACATATAGCGCCAACAAACTGGAACTAGGCGTATCCGGTTGTATAGAATTACTTTATATGAAAGGTTTGCGAATTTTTGGTACGTGTTAATAATATTATATTAATATTGTGTTAATAAATATATTATATGAATTGTATAATTCGTGTAATGACCTTTTCAGTTGCTCAGATTAGTGGTTTGATATCAGATTATTTACTTTTGCATGTAAACTTTAGAATCATAGAATAGTATAATAGGCGGAATTGATGCTTGAGGCGTTCTCCGCCAGTCAACTTTTAAGGTTAATAACCTAACCTCAATATAAATGAAATAAAATTACAATAAAAATAATTAGAAGTAATAGTAATAATAATGGCCTCCAGACCGAATTTCGGCCACAGCGGCCTGCCTCAACGGAGGCTAGCCATCGGCGCAGGACAGGATAATAGTGCGCAAGTGTATGCGCAAGCACAGGTGCACTCTCTATACCCTCACTCTCATAATCCGATGTAACGGTAAACCGACACGACTGGAGAGATATCAGGCGCAAGGTCAACGGCTTTACGTGCTTTACGAGACACGGGTGTGTGACACCGCCAAATTCCTGACTCCGGGAAACTATTGAGAATTTCTTGACGGAAAAACTCAATAATTAATTATTTGACCCGATACGGGAGTCGAACCCAGGACCATATGATCAGCAGTCGCACTACTACAACCACTAGACCAACGAGGCAGTCATTAAAAATGTATAATGCAATACAAATTATACATGCATAAATAGAAATAAAGTGTCTATCAGTTTTATCAAAATAACTGCCCGGTATACTGAACCTATTATAATGAAACGTCGCAAACAGATATAGGGTAATGCTGGATGTGATTTAGACTTATTTAATTTTTGTTTTATAGGAAATTGAATAACTGATAAAATAAAGAATTGTAATAAGTAAGCACAAATATATCAATATAATTCTTTGGAAAGAAGGATTCTAGGATTTTCAACGATTGTTAACCCTAGAAGCCTTATCTACGTCTGCGAGGCGTACACGCATTCGGAAACTGTCTCTCTTTTTATAACGGGTGAAGTTGGTGATTTGTGCGGCTTAGAAAACTCAGTGGCCTCCTAGAGCCTGCTGATAGTGCCCGTATCGTTAGGGTAAGTCCCGCCGATTTTGACTTATTGACATGTTGTACGCCTGCGAGGCGTATGTTTAGGCTTTGTGTAACTTTTAACTTAGATTTTGTGATTACGCCTTTGTTAGTTTTTTTGTGTTTTATGTTTATATTGACGTTGTTTTAGATAAAATATATCAAGATCAAAATGGCTTAACAATGCCAATGTTTTGACGATATAAGATGAAGAAAATCATGGTTCTCTGAGAGGTTCAGCGTCAGAAGAGGAAGATGTTCTAAGTGAATTATGTTACTGACGAGATCTTCTCTTTACGATCTGCTTCCAATGAAAAAACTGTCTCAACAACTGCTGCAGCAGCTCACCCATCCACTCCTGCTAATTTTCAACCTATAAGTCTTGGATTTTGACATCTCAAGACTTATACGTCGTGTCTCCGAATATATACTTCACGCTTAGAACGAATGTTTGGTCGACTACCAAGGGTCAATCATCTCAGAGAACTTCAGCAATGAATATGATCAAGAACAGTAAAAAAACCTACGTAGAAGAAAGTTTATGAAGCAGCTCAACACAGATTTGGTTAAGCCTTGGATGGAGATGAGACTTGAAGCGCCAACTTTGAAAAGATCTTTACGAGAATACATATGCCATATTCTCGTAAAATCTACTGATCATAATGAAGTTCAGAAGGGAGAATCTGAGCCCAAAAACCGTAAATGCTGCACGTTTTGCTCTTACAAAAAAAAGAATACCCAAATTAGTGTGTTATAAGTAAAAAACGTCAGTATGTTGCGAGCACAAGGTTTATGTGTGTGTAGACTGCTCTAAGCTTTAAGCTAGTCCGTGAAAGTCTGACTTAATTTAATAATTGTGCTAAGAAAAAGTCATTAAATAGTAAAAAAACTTATAAGATAGTTAAAGAAATGATGTTACCGTTGATTAATCAGAAGTTACTTTTTTTGTTCGAATATCAGCAGATTGTTCTATTTTGTTGTAATATAAATAGCTGTGATTAGAGTCTCCATTAATGAATCTGTGTTTTGTTACTAGAATAAATGCCTATCATACGGGTCCTTAAAAAATCGCAAATAATTATACTTTAGGCCAGAAATAGTTATTTATATATGCACGCCTCTGAGGCGTATGTTAAGGCTTTATGTATCTCTGAGATAGATTAGGCTTCTAGGGTTAATGCTTCAGGAAACTAGAAAAATAATGGGGATCACATATCTGAACGTTTCCTAACGTGTAATAGTACGTGAATTTGCAGTAAGTCGGTGAATGCAGGTGGCTTAAGATCGTACTTTATGACATTTCTTCGGGTAGGTCTATGTTCAGAAGTAATGTGATGGGATGTTATGATAATAATGATAATGACATGTATATCAAATATCAATTTAAAAAGGAATGCTAAAAAGTTGTAACGGTATACTAAATATAAAACCTTGCTTGCTAACTAAAATATTATAATTGATTTGGTTCTTGGTGCAGTATGTCTGTAATAATAGGTCCACTCGATCGAAGTAGGCCACACGTTTACAAATTAGGAAATTATCCAATGCGGCTGTGTTTTATCATTTTCATCATTTTATCGTTATCCTCAAAGGGGACAACAAATTTATATATGAATTCTTAATCAAAGATGGATTATGTATTTGTTTCTAACCACACCATTACATTTTGTTCATATCAATTCTTCTTGCCATTTTTTTAACAAACATATTTAATATGTTTGTTGTTGTTGTAACCTATATTTTACATGAGTTACTATGGGGTGCATCTATGCGTGATAAACAGACCGTGCAGTACTAAAATCCTCGGTTACCAACCCGTTTAGTAAGCGTGGCAACTCTGACAAAATCCCCTTTATGAGGTAATTTATGGGAGAACGTGGAACAAAAAGGAAACCAAAATATAGGGCCAGCGCGGGGTGTCCGCGCTGAGTGGGCTTGCCTAAGTCACTCTAGATATTCGTTGATGGACGGTTGTGCACAATGAATTCCCCCTTCCTTAACCGGGGTAGAATTGTCTGTTAAGAGGAGTGTTAGTATAGCGATGCGCCAATCGCTCTATCTTCCATTACTCTGGTGGTTGCACCACTGATGCCATGATAGCATCAGTGGTGCAACCACGTGATGGCCACGCAGAGAGAGGTGTTGGCAATGCGAGGCGCCGCTTTCCCTACCCTCCGTCTTCAATATGGTTGGCGGTATAATCATGGAGCCAGGAACAGGAGACCCGATCCTCCGCTGAGGTCGGGAAGGTTGGTGTTTCGATTGCTTGACTTTTCTGGCACCATGGCGCTCGCGTACCAGACTACGTAGGTATATTGTGCAGGTGGAGTTAAAGACTACGGTGGAAGGCGCATCTAGTATTTTAGTACGCCTTAACTGAGAAGTAAAATGGGAAGGAGTTGTTCTCTCTTGAGGAGGGGTCAGCGCTGGTGGGGCCGCGGATATGTGCGAAAGCATTCCTGTAGCCCTGCCAAACAAAAGTGAAAAAGACGGAACAGCGTGCGGTGCCGCCTCAGTTTACTATAGTTGGAAAAGATAATGAAATCACTGCGTTTGGTCGATAGTCTGTGCGAGCTTCACGTAACACTTTTTCACCCGCTACTTGACAAGAGATGGACAGTAAGTCGGTTTGTCACTGCATTTAATTGTTTTTTTTTTGTTTTTGTTGAAATTTCCTCAACTTTGGTGAAATAAATAACGTAGAAATGTTTAGGAACGCGATAACCGACTTTGTTTTAAATACACATCATACTTTCACAACTTTTCGTAGCATAAAAAATTAAAGAAAAGATAACGACTTTTCTAAAATAATTATTAAGTCAATAAAGATAATATGTAATCGCAATCTACAGTTACATGTTTGCTAAGCGATAAGGTAGTGTCACATCTACACATTTTATAACGTTGGTGATAATAAATCAAATACTTTGCAGAAATATGAGCCTTAAGTTGGAGGCACGAACGCTTGTTATAAAACGATATTTTGTAATATTTGTTTATTTATATTTGGTAATGCTACTTTTACAGATCATAGGTAATTAATTCTGTTATTCTATTAGACATCAAGGTGGTGTGAAATGCATAAAACAGTTCACAAAATATAATAGTTAGTAATAATCAGAAATGATATCCGAACGCGTTTCCGTAAAATGTAATGCATACTTTATTTTACTATTTATAATTTAATTTATTTAATATTGTATTTTTATGAGCATTAAGTTAATGTGATTCTAGAAAATGTATTACCGCAGTGCTGATTTTTATTGAAGACCATTTTTTATTGTTTATTAAACTTATTGACAAACGAACCTAAAATCCAAAAGTATACTGAAATTTGAATTCAAATATTTTTGGTATATCAAACAAAAGTAACCCAGACGGACTTTTAAGCAGACAAGGAGTTCTACCACTAAAATCATAATATACTGCACAAACACACATACAAAAGACTTTTTTTAATAAAATGACCCGATACAAAAAGGAATCAAACCCCGGATCCGCAGGTAAGCGCTTATTTACAATTCTACTCAGCTGTCAAATATTTTTTTTTACAGGAGAGGGGCAAACGAGCGTACGGCTCACCTGATGTCAATTGACTACCGCCACCCATGAACACTGCAACACCATGGGAATTGCAGATGCGTTGCCGGCCTCTTAAAAAGGAGTAGTCTTTTCTTGAAGGTCCCTAAGTCGTATCGGTCCGGAAAAATCTATGGTGGTAGTTGATTCTACAAGGAAGTTGTGCGGAGAAGAAAACTTCTTTAATAAATAAATAATTTAAAAATAAATATAATGCATTGATGTATTTTGTGTATTACAATTAATTTGACTTGAATTTGCCTTTGGAGGAGACCTACGTCCAGCAATGGACTTGTGAAGGACATTAGATATGATGATGATAGTTATGATTATGGTGCTCCCACACAACAGATTTATAACGTTATATATGAAATGATTACATTTTGCTACAATTTAGACAGATCGATGTTATATCACCATCACCATTCCCACACCGGTGAAATCGTTTCTGTTTAATGATAGAGAGTTGGTAGACTGTTTTTACTAATTTAAATAATTATATGAATTATCTTTAAATTCTATTCAACTTCGCCGTCGTTAACCACATGAATTGCAGTTATTCTAATAGCGATAGCAAAAAATTCTTACGTTCCCCAATGAGAGAGAATTTAAGTAGATAATATGCATTTAATTAGAAAATCCGTAAAAGATCGATACTCCTTTTGCTATGTACGTGCGCTTCTGCATATACATACATGTATATAATTCGTGATAGTAATGAAACATTCCCAGTCAATATGGTTTCACTATGGTTTCGTAGAAAGTAGCTAAATTGTAAGGCATGAAAAGTGTATTATATATATATATATATATATATATATATATATATATAATACTGTGACGTCATTATCATAAGTCCACTGCTAACATACAGCTTACAGGCATCACAAAATACAGATAAAAACCTTGCAAATATTTACTTAACAAATGCATGTTTTAACGCAAGTTTCTCTCGACGTGGCGTTTGGTTCTTTTTTTATACGATAGGGTGACAAACGAGCACACGGTCCACCTGATGGTAAGTAGTTGCTGTGGCCCATAGACATCTACACCTATCTTCGATTACGAATCAAAATGCAGATGCGTTGTCACCGGTGAGGACTAAGATGGAATGCCCGGTTTCCAGTAAAAAGGGTCTCCGGTTCTCCACACTCACCATATGAAACACAGCAGCATTAAGCTACTATTTGACGCCGGTATTCTGTGAGAGCGTGGTCCTTCCCCGGTCGAGCCGATCCATTCGTGCTACAACTATACTACTAATATAGCTGCAGCATGGATCTACCACGTATAAATGTTAGTATATTCTATTCTATTTGAATATAAATCAATTATAATAAATGGCATTTTCACAGGAAAATAATATTTTTTTTTTATAGATAAATTTTTTGAAAACGCCAAATATGGATATTGAGTACCTCAACTTGACACTCATTGTTCAATAAAAAAGTCATTTTTCAAAGATTTGAAAAAAAAAACTTCGTCTGTAAAAAAAGTATCGTTTATTAAAAATAGTTAAATTATATTAATTGAACAGTCATGAAATTATTAAATAAAAAAAAAAAAAAAAAAAAAAAAAAAAAAAAAAAAAAAAAAAAAAAAAAAAAAAAAATAAAAAAAAAAAAAAAAAAAAAAAAAAAAAAAAAAACCCCCAAACAGAAAAAATAGTTATTTATTATTTCCAAAATCTCCCCCCCCAAAAAAAATTTATAATCTTACACCAAAACAAAAACAATTGGTATTACGGGAAAAACCCCCCACACTTCCACCCACCCACCACATTTTTGGTTTAGGGGGACAAAACACAAAAAAACGAAAAAAGAATTTAAAAATTAAACAATACATATAAAAAAAATATATTTTTTTATAAATAAATAAACCGGTTTACTCGTTTTGCACTTTCTCTTGAGTTGGCGGTATAAGGATATTGTTATAACGACTACATACACTGAGCATTTTTGTAATAATTGTCGGTTTTATATAACAACATTCATGATCTGTGTCCTCTCTTTTCTGTCGTCATATTCGCCTGGGTAGGTAACCGACCCATTTTTTTTCTGGCTGCAAATGTTTATTGGTTACAGCAGCCACTAACATAAAGCGGATTGCAAGTTTGCTTGCAAATTAAACTTAAAAACTTAAAATCGATTCCAAAAACTAAAAAAATTAATTATATAATATAATTATGGAAGTCGGTGCTAAAATATATTGGTATATTTTTAAGGTATATTATATGAAAATTGTTTTATTCTTTTGAGTGTGCTAAGGAATATGCACAAGTTTAAGGTAACCTAAAAACATTTTCGCCTATTTATGCATCCTTAGGAATTTAATTTTTTATGTGGAACCACCCCTGAAGTGTATCAAATTAAAAAAAGGATAATTCATTTCGGTTAAGCCAAGTTAAACTTACATAAAAACATACGAGTCGAATACCCCCCTTTTTTTAAATATATTAAAATTATCCTGCAACCTAAAACCACTCAAATAATATCAATATTTTTTTCAGATTATGGTTTCGGTGTCAGGCATTTGCAAGCAATATGCATGTGTTTATGTGTGATAGCGTTATACATAGCGCGAGGCAGCATGGCCGTGGCAGTTCTAGCCATGACCAACGTTACTCGGAAAAATGACACGCGAGTTACGGTATGTTATGCAGAATTACTTTTTTATAAGTCGATAATGCCGACAAATAAATATCTATATCTATCCTCATTTAAGAAACAAATTGTACATGCGTTAACACCCCAGAGGACTACGATGGAATGCGTCGATTCCTGTAAACTGAGCCTTCGGTTATCTACACTTACCATACGAAAACAACAGCACTAAGCTGCCATTTAACGCTGGTATTCTGTCAGAGAGTGATCCTACTCTGTTTGTGCTGACCTATTTGTGGTATAACTATAACATATCATATCAATTTATTGCAGATAAATAAAGCACTGTTGAATGTTGTGTGTGCCCAAATACGGGCTTATAAAAAAAGTATAACGTACTTACTACACAAAAATTGTACATTTTCTAGTTTATCATAGATCAGACTTTTTTTAATTTAGTCTACAGACTCCCATTTGGCACAATCTTAACACCTTTCTCGCCTCCATCTTCGTCGATAAATTTTCGCCTAGATTGACCCTTGCTGACTCTGCCGTCCACTTCTGCAACAAAAATTTGCTTTGTCATTCTTTCCCCCATTTATTTTTTATACATGACCAATTCATCGAAGCATTCGTTTCTTTCATTATCCCGGTCGCAACATTGTCTTGCAAACCACACTGTTCATTTATCTTACAATTTCTCACCCTGTGATTCTAATTCAGTCCCAACATACTCCTTGACCGCATTATATACATATTGGTAAGAACCGATGACTATAAAATAAATTTATAATCATGGCTTGTATTGATCATAAACCTGTATAATTGGTTTAGTATTTTAAACTCAAATTTTATTTGATTGATTTTCCACCTACAAAAAGTTATTGAAATTGAAGCGAAATGCGACGTGGAATGTCCATTTTAACATGTACTGAAAATGTTTATTATTATTACTTAGAGCTAATTTCCAATCATCAGATAAACGTTATTTATAGGATAACAAACATAATATATATATATATATATATATATATATATATATATATATATATATATATATATATATATATATATATATGACGGGCGGCGACGAGGTTCGCCACCCGTCACGTTCTGTCTCCCGGAGGGGCGAAAAGTGGATTGCTGAAACCCGTCTAGCTACGCTGAATGTATGTGGAGGAATGAATGATAAGATGGATGAACTATGCGAAATGATGAATAACAGAGGAATAGATGTATTATGTGTGAATGAGACAAAACGAAACGGAAAGGATGCCATTGCACATGGCACGTATACCGCGTATTGGTCTGGTGTAGACGAGACCGAACGGGCATGCCAGGGAGTCGGTTTCATCCTTTCAGAAAGAATGAGTCAATGTGTGAAAGAGTATGAATGTGTAAGCCCGAGACTGCTATGGATACGAATGAAAGTGGGCTTAAAGAAGCTGTTCCTGCTAGGGGTGTACGCCCCAGACATGTCTAAGCCCACTTATTCCGAGAGCAGTTTTGGGACATGGTAAGGATGGTGTTGACAAATTGTAAGGAAAATGAAAATATTATTATGTTAGGAGACTTTAATGGAAGGTTTGGGGTGAAGAGGTCTGGTTATGATGGGATATTGGGAACGTTTGGTGATGAAAGTATAAATGAGAATGGTGAAGACCTCCTCACCGTATGTGTGGAAAAGAATCTTTTTGTGACGAATACTTTGTTTCGTCATAAGAAGATTCACATTTATACATGGGAAAGAGGTGATGATATAAGCATGATAGATTTCGTAATTGTGGATGAAAGAATGAGGAGCGCAGTCGTAGATACAAGGGTTTACCGGGGGTCCAACGTAGGGACGGATCATTACTTGCTCTTATGTCGAATTAATGGTCTTTTCAAGCGTTGGCAGCATCGGACATCTGTGTCTACCACTGCGTTACAGCGTATAAGAATAGAGAAGTTACAAGATGAAGATGTGAAAGAGAAGAATAAATGTAGACTGAGAGGAAATATTAGGTGTTTGAATGAGTTGTGTAGGAATGATTTAGACTTGAATACTGTGTGGGATAATATTAAGAAAGGTTTGGTGGATGCCGCCACTGAAGTATGTGGTGTAAGTAAGAGAACAAATGAAAGAAAATACGTTGTGGTAGGATGATGAGGTACGGGTGGAAGTTGAATCAAAGAAGAAAGCATGGTTAGATTTACTAGCAACCAAAGCTGGTAATTCTTTTGGTATGAATGATGAGATTGAAAAAAGGCAGAATTTAGACGTCTAAATAAGAAAGTAAAAGAAGTTGTTGAAAGGAAAAAGAAAGAGAGAACGGATAAGAATGATAGAATGATATCTGATAATTTCCAGGCTAACATAAAAATGTTCTGGAAACTCGTAGGAACTGCCAGGGAAATACAAAACAGCCTATAATGAATGCTATAAGAGACGAGAATGGATGTATTCTGAATGATGAAGCTTCGAATTTAAACAGATGGAAGGAATACTTTGAAAGCGTGTTTATGAGTGAAGAGTCGTCTGAATTAAATCAACTAGAAATTCCGAAAGAAGTGGAAAGGGGTATGGAGATAAGTGTAGATGAAATAATGAAAGCAATGAAAAGCATGAAAGCAGGTAAGGCAGGCCTGCTGTACACCTTGTTTAATTTATGTTGGGAATTAAAACGGGTACCGGATGACTGGTGTAGAGCAGTTATAGTACCAATATATAAAGGAAAAGGGTCACAGCAGGACTGCAAAAACTACCGTGGTATCAGCTTGCTTAGCATTGTAAGTAAACTGTACGCTAAGGTGCTAATTGAAAGAGTTATGAAAGAAACTGATGAAAATATTTGGGATGTGCAAGCGGGTTTTAGAAAGGGAATGGAAAGGGGTGTACAGATCAAGTCTTTTCCATGCGCATGATCGCGGAGAAGTTTTTGGCCAAAAACCAGAAAGGTTTTTTGTGCGTTCATGGACTTGGAAAAGGCTTATGACAGAGTGAACGGGAATGTGTTATGGCAAACGCTGAACTCATATGGGTTGCGCGCTGGTTTAATACAGGCATTAAGGTCTCTTTATAGGGACTCTAGTGCTTGTGTCAGGATCAATGGGGGGGGGGTCTACTCGGACTGGTTTGGCAACCAAAAAGGTGTCAGACAGGGCTGTGTAGCTTCCCCGTGGCTGTTCAACCTATTTATGGACAGGTGTTTGCAAACTTTGAAAGATGAAGAATGCGGGTTAAGAATGGGCGAGTTATCCGTCAAATGCCTTTTGTACGCCGATGATCAAGTCATATCTTGCGTTATCGTCGGCTAAGTTGCAAATGATGGTCACATTAATGAACTGGGAATGAAAAGAAAGGGGAATGAAAGTGAACGCAAGTAAGACGAAAGTGATGGTTTTTGAAAGAGAAGAAAGCAAAACGGTATATGAAATAAGAATAGAAGGAGAGTTAATTGAGCAAGTGGATGAGTTTGTGTATTTGGGATGTGTATTTAGCAGGGATGGTAGATATGATAGGGATATAGAACGACGAGTAAATGCAGGGAATAGAGTTAATGGTGCACTACACTCTATTATGAAGAACCAGAATGTGTCAAAAAAGGCACGTATGGTAATTCATAATGCTGTGTTAGTCCCTACTTTAATGTATGGTAGTGAAAGCTGGGTGTGGCAGAAGAAGCACGAAAGTAGAATAAATGCTGTAGAAATGCGGTCTTTAAGAAGTATGCTAGGGTTGAATCTGAATGACAGGGTGAAAAATTGCGTGATAAGAGATAAATGTGGTATGCAAGATGATGTTGTGACCAGGATTAAGAAAGGAATGCTTCGGTGGTTTGGTCATGGAGAATGAATGAATGAGGAAAGAGTGACAAAGCAAATTTATACGGCAGATGTGAACGGCCGAGTCGGGAAGGGACGCCCTAGAAAAAAGTTTATCGACCAAATTGGCGATATTTTGAAAAGGGGCCACGTTAGAAGTACCCTTAACCGACGAGTATGTATGCGTAGATATATGGATGTAAATGAGGCGAAATAGGTATGTCAGGATCGTGCCAAATGGAAGTCCGTAGTCTCTGCCTACCCCTCTGGGTGACAGGCGTGAGTGTTTATGTTATGTTATGTTAAATATATGTGTGTGTATAAATATTCATAACTATCTAGATATTTTTGCTTTTGCTTTACAGATATATGACTGGGATAAGAAAACACAGGGCTTAATCCTCTCGTCATTTTTTTGGGGGTACATTGTGATGCAAATCCCAGGGGGCCTGTTTGCTAAAAGATTTGGAGGAAAGCCCATTTTACTTGTAGCATTATTGACAAATGGTATCGTTTGCGGCCTGCTTCCTTCGTTAGCCGATTTGGTAAGAAATAGAAACAGAGCAATTAATCATTGTCAGCTAGTCAATTTTTTAACGAACCAAATAAGAAGACGTTTTATTACTGCAATATTTTTGCGTGAAACATTTTTATATTTTAAGCTAGTCACTTCTAAACGGAAGGTCCGGTTATTGCGAATAATTTCAATTGGATATTTTGGACATCTTGCCCGGCGGGAGATCTCCCCTTTTCCTTCAACGGCCATAAGTCCACCATTTTTTAACCCGCAATACCTTTCGCTATTCGGGCACCCATATGTTTGAAGTCATTAGTCCCGGAATCGAACCGGGGACCCTTGGCTCAACCATAATTGTGATGCTTTGATCTGAATTTAAATTAGCAACCATTAGCTCAACGATAATTAAATATATAATTCAGTTTTACTCACTTCAAAAAGTCTCAATTTTCTTTTTTTATTTAATTTTTTTCAGGAGTATTATGAACCGATGACTATAAAATAAATTCATGGCTATGACCTAAAATTCTCATAAACATCATCATTGCTGTCTCTGTTGTTTAACTATTTTTGCTTTAGTTTATATTTTTGTGAAAATATGGAGGGAGCAACATTAATATGTTAATTTGACCTTTAAAGTTATCTCTCAGAAACAAAAAAATCTGTTTCATAAATGTTTTCATTTTATAATATTATCGCATTTTACAGGGTGGATGGCAAATTGTGTGTGCTTGTCGAGTACTGATGGGTCTCTCGCAAGCATGTTTGTTGCCATCCACTCATACGCTGCTTGGACGATGGATACCGTCGCATGAGCGAACAACTATAACGGGAATTGTTTACGGAGGTAACTTTTCAGATATTTTGCTATAATGGATGGTTAAATTAGTTCCGAACCAAGTTTTTAATCGTGCGGTGTTAGTCTAAGAATCACTACCTAAATCAACCCGCGGGTTGATTTAGGTAGTGATATAATAGGGGCGACACGACAGAAGGAATGTGAATCTGGAGACGGACTACAACATCTTCATGATAATGGTTGAATTAAAATTGAAACTGCAGTAGTCCACACAAGCCAGATTTACCAAGCCAGCCTTTCAGATTTTTACAGAATACATTTTGGAGAGTGCCCGGCTACACTCTTTGTTGTCGACATACCACGCATTTGAATCGAACGGTTCGTCGTCTATAATGCGTACAGCAATGGAGTAGAATGAGTCGCCAGTGTTTGTCTTTCCCTCCGATTACAAGTAGTTATCTTACAAGCTAGAGTAAATATATCTTTGTTTTAATCGAATTCAAGGCACTTTACCATCTCTAGCTGTATCACCACTTAGCATTCGGTGGGATAGTAGCTTGTATTAATAAATATAGATAGGACCCGGTGGAGAGAGATCATAAACAATAAACTTACTCTCCGTGATGGTGATCACGATCCTCAGTCATGAGGGACCGACTATATATATATATATAAAAAAAAGTGTGTGTGTGTGTGTGTATGTAGTGTAAACAAAACGTATGGTTATACCATCATTAGATAGTGCATAAATTCTACTATTACGCAGACCTTGAGGAGGAGGTACACGTTTTCACAGATCCCTTAAACTCGGATTACTATAACCGTACATACATCGCTGCTAAGAGGCAGAAAAGGGTTAGAGGTTTTACAGGTGGTGGAGCCATGCTGCAGCTAACTATGTTATGGTTGTAGCACAAATGGGTCAGTTCACTGGGGTAGGGCCATGATCTTAGAGAATGCCTTTTATTTGAAATGAGGCGTCCCATCTTCAGTCCGTCCTCAGGGTTAACAACGAACCTGCCTGCTTTCTTATTCGAGGAGAGAAAGAGATGTCAGAGAGCCCGGCATCCACTTGCCATTAGGTAGTCTGTGAGCTCGTTTGTCATACGTTTTCTTTAAAATCACGATGATGGTATCTGCTGGTACGGACTCCTAGATTAATTTTTTTATAACAGGTACTCAAATAGGCACAATAATAGCGATGCCAATGTCAGGGCTTCTAGCAGACACGGCTGTAGGATGGAAGCTCATATTCTATTCAATGTCGGGATTGATGTTCACAACGAGCGCTGTGTGGTACTACTTCTCAGCGAGTACACCAAGAGAGCATCGATTTATTACTGAAACTGAAAAAGAGTATATCGAAAGAGGTTCCAATACTTCTGATGGAAAGGTAAGCTTAGATAACGTGATGATTTTGGCTTTACTTTGTGAATGACGAAGAACTATATCATCACAAGCCATCACCAAAAAGGCTTTCATTGCAGATTTCAGTAAAACAGAGTCCTTATCCCATTGAATTTCCCGACTTAATATTGTATGCTATGTCACGTCTTCTTTCCACGTACTGCCACCATACTTGCGCTACTAGTAGGCAAAAGTTTTCGTATTGATCTCATTGTATTACTCTCAGCGTACCTTTTTTATTGAGAAAATCTTTATGGATACCGTTCATTGCGGAGGCAACGAGAAGTTTATGCCGGACTTCTAAAACCAGCTAAAACCTCACGGTGGTCATCATCGCCATATACGAGGGGTCCCAGTATCTCCGTTCAGAACGCAACCGGGGCTCCTCCATCGCTTTACTACAATAATAGCAAGTCCCGAGGGCAGTACTTGCAGCTCTCAGCACCCTTGCAGTGCTACCATGATGTCTCGACACAACCTCCGAGTCATCGTCCTCTTTGGGGTTACATAACTAGGCGTTCGAGGCCCCCGCCCTGGCGGCTACAACCCCGGAGGCCCTGTTTATGGTCAGGGAAAGTGTTCCCATTTGTTCCAATTTGCGCGGGACGTCCCGATTTTCAGAGGTCTGGTGACTCGTGCCGATTCACCCTTGATCGGGACGACAAATGTTCCGAATTTTCACTAATTTCCCTAGTTTGTATTTTGATTTTTGTAGCATAATTGAATATATCTGTAAGATGTTACTACATTAAAATACTTCAACCCCTACCTGCATATCTAATAGAATGTTTTAGACATGTGAAGCTAGCCAAAACGCATTAGGGCAGCGCGGCGGACCCCTTTTGTACTAAAAAAAACCTCTCAATAACGAGGGAAGGCCTGTGGCCATCAGTGTGACGTATATAATGTTACGACCTTGAGGTTCGTGACAATAGAAATTGCCGATAGAATTACCTAAATTAACACTTTAATTTCCTTTACACAAATTAAAACTTAAAACACCAATAATTAAGCACGCTAATTCACTTTATTCCGCTCCGAAGCTTCGCTTGTCTCGCCGAATTCAATACTTCCTCGATCGCATCTTGCAGCGCCTATAAATACAAATTAGCACCGAAACATCCAGAATATTCAAGTAAACACGCGCAAGGGGCCGAGAGTTCGAGTATCAGCTTCTAGACGCTTAGTTCTTCGTTACGAGACTAGATGGCGCTGTCGGTTGAAAGATTAGTGATGTCATTTTCTGGAAAGCTCCCTTCGCTCTCGTCCCTGACGCTAGATGGCGCTAGTGCCGGATACATGACGTCGACTTATTCGCGCAACAATAAGCTGTAACTTTTTAACACTTATAGATTAAAATGATTTTTATCTTTAGATTATGCGTTAGGTTAAGGGCCGTGACGAACGTCTTGGTGACTTCGTCTCCGAGTGGGATCTGCCCTCTCCTGATCCCGTTCAGAAGCGACCTTCTGAATCATAACGGATTCACAGAAGGTAGCTACGGCCCTCCACGCCGAATCCCCGCTCAGCATCCTCCCTACACGACTGCTGGCAGGGATAGGTTTCATCCACTGTGGTTTATCAGAATCGTCCGCTGCCATTCCCACGCTGGGCATACGCGAGCATGTGGGAAGCGGAGTCCTTGCCCCGTCCTCCGCAGTGAAAACAGTTCGCCTTCACCTCGCGTCCGAATACACACAAACAATCATTGAAGCATCCGTGCCCTGTAATTATCTGTATACGTCTGTAGGTGAGTTTTCCTACTCGTCGCTGCTTCTAAGTTTCAAAGACCGGCAGAATTGATTGATTGACGCGTTAACTTCATAGCGCTTCTCAAGTTGAGTGAGTCATGTTGCCAGGGCGATTTGTCGTTTCTGCCATTTAATGCTATGGTGGAAAACATGAATCTGGACATACACCCTCGCGTCCATCCTTCATCTGCTGGACACCGAAGAGTGTAGATTTTAGTTCTACAGCGTCGAATGGTCAGCCTTTTTACCTTTTTGCACTTTCCATCATCCATGGTCACAGGGTGTCCTAGGTATCATAACGTCCTGTTCTCAAAGTTAACGAAGGATTTATTTTTGGTCCGATCTACGCAGAACGAGCTTACAGTATCTTGAAGTCTTGGAGTAGTTTGCTTGGGTTCGAATTTAATTTTATTAATTACGGGAACCCAAGAAAATTGAATGAAATCATTACAAAAATTGTGGTTCTAAGCTTGACAGTCGATAGAAAATATTCTTCTTATGGGGCAACAGTATGAGTGAACTTTGAATAGGTTTTCAATAAATTTTATATAACGATTGCCTATGTACCCAAACATTACTCATTGATAAAAGTAGCTTAAAGAGTTATATCGTAAAAATTAAAATATAAAAATTAAAATTCTAATAATTAAAAATCTAAGTTGTACTTAAATTTTAAACAATAATTTAAGGTTAAATGTAGCTCAGATTAAATGTCAAATACAGCGTCTCTCAGTCAAAAAGAAATTATATTAAATATATTATCCTGGAGACCATTTCAAATATCCATCAAAAATAAGTAAAAATTTAAAGCGATGAAATCCGTTAAACGATAGGTGCATTGAATAAAACTATTATTTACGGATTTTATCGCGTTAAATTACTTTAATTTATTTTTATTATTATCCCGACGTTTCGGGTGCTTTACAGCGCCCATGGTCACGGGGGGGACTCATTTTTTTATAAAATAACTGAATGAACTTTTGCAGGTACCAAGCATACCATGGCGATATATTTTAAAATCAAAAGGGCTTTGGGCAGTAGCTTCATCACATTTCGGATGTATGTGCAGTTACGTACTCTTCTTCGTTGACATGCCTACATATTTAGAAAAAGGCTTACATATATCTTTAAAAAATGTTAGTATTTGACAGTTTTTTTAATACACCCAAGTTTTATTATAGAACACCTAACATGTCTCAGTCAAATAAATGTTAACGTTAAAATAATCAATGAGGGCTTGATAGTAGCTCTTGGAAATATAAAAACATACACCGGTTCGCAAAAACAAGGCTTGTTTAGAACAAAACCGACAAGAAACTTTGAGGTCTTTAGTTTAAAATTTTAAACTTAAAATTAAAATTGACTTAATTTTTTTTAGAGTGCTTCACTATCAGCTCTACCATACATTGGTATGTTTATTGGAAATATAATATCGTCCATCGCATCGGAGAAAATCTCCAACCGAGGATTACTCTCTGTTGGGACTTGTAGGAAACTTTTTAATTCTATAGGTAAGTCGATGTAAATAATAAGTTTTAAATAATAAATACAATATACAATCAACGTCAACAGTTTTAAAAATCATTCCAAATTTTAATTGACTATGCATATTTTCATTTTTGGTTATATATCTAGTAATTTAGTACCTAGTATTTTACAATTTAGGACTGTAATAGTACAAGAGAGCATTAATTTACGTGCAAACTAAGTTCACCATTGAAAGATGTTCAACGAGTGAACTTATCGTGTAAAACCATAGCGTGTAAAAATAAAATCTCTGTATAGTTAAGCTTGTAAACCAAATGATTAAAAAAATATGTAGTTGCTATTTTAGGAGAACACCTATAGCCGGCTTCAAGACAGCAGACGCCATCCAATGTTTGGTTGGCATTGCTATCGAGGTCGGCAGTCAAGTCCTGGCCGACATAAGAGCCGGGACAGATCCTATCACAACGGTTATGAAGGCGCTGGCCAACCTCCTGACCCGGCATTATAGAGGAGAGTAACATGCACCTTCTCTATTGGAACCCGGACGGAATACAGCAGAAGCTGCATGAACTCCGCACAGTCGCCCAACAACAAGACATCCAAGTCATCTTGCTGGCATTTAAAGCTGCCGAATTACCACATATACAGGAGGGACGAGATCACTTCTCAAGGGGCCGACTATAGAGGGACGGCGGTTCTAGTGAGGAGGGACATCGTCCATCAAGAGCTGGAATTACCTGTATACCAATCAATGCGCTGTATCGGCATAAAAATGGAGGCGGCAGGCGAGGAACTAAGGATCTAGAAAGAAAGAAAGAAAGAAAGAAAAGTTTATTTGGTACATACATTATAACAAAAAAAAAAAATAAAAATAAAACATTTTTTAATATCTTATCAAAAATATTTAAAAAGTAATAACAAAATATGCACCAAAATGGTCTCCACTCAGCTTTAAGTCACGAATTGAAGATATAAATACATCAATTCGTAACGCTGATTTTCAGTGAAGCCAGGAGTGTGAGGCAGATGACAAGTAACAGCAAGAGAAAAAATGAACTAAACATAAATATAAAATAAAATCAGAAAAAAACTGTCAAAATTCCACGTGTCCGTGCAACTTTGATAGTGTAAAGATGGACGAACGGTGGTATGCATACAGAAAAAATAAAATAAATTGTGTATGTGTATGTGTGCATGCGTGTTTGAGTATGTGAGTGCGTTCGTATGTGCATGTACGGTACTGGCATTGAGATTGAATCATACCATTTATGCCTATTTGCTGGATTTTTGTACGGAAATCAGAAACTTTTTTAATAAAGTTTTAAAAGTGTCAACTGTTTTACTATTTCTGATCGGTGGTGGTATATCATTCCAGCACTTCGTGGCAGCAAAACGGAAACTACCACGGAAGGCAGCTGTGTGATGCTTAGGGTATGTGAGTCGTGATGCTGTCCTAATCGCACGCTGCGAGAAAATAAGTTTTTGGTATAAGTATGATGGTTCCCTGGTATTTATAACTCCAAAAAGCAATGATGCAAGGTGGAGAGTACGTCGAGCAGCCATACTCATCAGGTCGTGTCGATTTAAAAATGGGGTGATGTGTGATCTCTTAGGGACTGTGAAGCAGAAACGTGCGCAGGCGTTTTGAACCCTTTGTATTGATTTTTTCGTTCTTGCGAGCAAGCATTCTCCAAATACTGTATCCGCATAAGTTAGCTTCGACAGAATGAGTGATTCACACAACCTAATGCGCATGTCCACCGTCAAATACTCTCTGATCTGGTACAAGACTTTGAGTCTATAGAAACAGTTTCGCATTGTTTCTTGCACATGACCCTCAAAACGCAACCTTCCGTCCATAACGAGACCTAAGTTCCGAGCTTCCAACACACGTTCTAAAGGAGTAGTCTTGATGTTAATTTGCGGATTGAAAGTTAGAATATTATTTGTCTGGTTATGCGTTCCCAGTAACATATACTTCGATTTAATGGGGTTCAATACGAGATTATTTTGATCACACCAATCGGCTATGCGGTCCAAATCTGAGTTGATTTTTTTTATTGCTATATTGGTGTCACTAGGTTTAAAAGACATATACAATTGAAGGTCGTCAGCATATATATGATAACTACAATTTTTTATGGTGTTCACTATATCTGAACAATACAATATAAAAAGTATAGGCCCCAAAATGGATCCTTGAGGTACACCTCTTGGAACTGGCAACGTGGTAGATATCCATTCTGATCCATTGTCTTTATTTATTTTAACAAATTGTGTACGATTAGTGAGGTAACTCGCAAACCATTTTATTGTTAAATTATCAAATCCATAGTAAGCGAGCTTTGATAAGAGTAGAGTGGTGTTAATGGTATCAAAAGCTCGGGAAAAGTCAAGCAAAACTAACATAGTACCCTCTCCAACATCTTGTGCAGTCAGAATATCATCCACTACATCCATGAGAGCGGTTGCAGTGCTACGAGACTTTCTGAATCCGGATTGCTTTTTAGGCAGGATATTATTAGCCTCAAGGTACTCCGTCATCTGTGTACAGACTACTCTTTCCAAAATTTTTGACATAAAGGGCAAGATACTTATAGGGCGGAGATCCTTGTAGTCATTTGGATTGGACTTTTTGGGAATCGGTTTTACTAAAGCTACTTTCCACTGCCTTGGGAATACACCTGTTTCAATAGATTTGTTAATTATTCCGGTAATAACTGTCAATGTTCTGGGTAAAGTTAATATTATCATGTTCAGAGTAATGCCATCATGACCTTGTGCATTAGTTTTAAAAGATTTTATTATATTAAGAACAGTTGTTTCATTAACCGTATTAAGCTTAAAAGTGCTAGGCCCAAATCTGTCAAATTCGTAGCTAGTTAAACGTGATAAACTGACTTCATTATTGCCGGGGAGCTCAAGAAAATAATGATTTATATTATTCGGATTACATAAATGAGACGGTAGTTCAATGTCTTTTTTCTTAAAGTTAGCAACGTTTTGTTTGATATTTTTCCATAAATTACGTGGGTCTTTTATCGTATTAATATAATTATTAAAATATGCAGTTTTTTCATTGTGAGTTGCCGTCCTTACAATGTTTTTTAATTCCTTGTAATATTGTTTATGAATATCAAGTTTTGTAAATCTACTTTTAGCATGTGATTCATCGCGTAATTTTATCATTTCTTTAACAGTATAGGTTATCCACGGAAAAGAGCGTTTTTTTATATAAAACGATCTAACAGGAGCGTGCACATTGTATAGGTCAAGTAAAATATTGTTAAAGTTTTCCACCATTTTATCAACATCGCCATTTACAACACTTTCCCATTCTATAGAATTGAGATCTAAGACAAATTTTTCTGTATCTATATTCTTTAATGGTCTATAGGTAATTATCTTAGGTGCATGTTTGATTTTATTAATATTGAGTTCACAAGTTAAAAATGCATGACTGCAAAGATCAGGAATATAATTAATTGATACCTTATAAAGAGTCATATTAGAACAAATTACATCAATCAAAGTTTCACTATGATCTGTGAAGTGCGTCGGTTGCTTTACAAACTGAGTAAGATTCATGTAATTAAAGAAACTTTGCAGCTTCTTAACATTAGTTTCCTGTATGTTAAGAAGATTTATGTTGAAATCACCGAGTAAGACTATATATTCGAATTTACCGAAAGAAGAAACGGATTCCGTGAGGGCATCAATAAAACTATCGACATTTACCCATGGGGCACGATAGGCCGTACCAATCGCTACTTTGATGCCGTTAATACTTAATCCTAGCCACATTTGTTCTACTAAATTGCTAGTAGGGTGCAGAATTTTGCGAACGTTGACTCCAAGACTAACGTAAAATCCGACTCCACCACCACGTGCACGCAATTCGGTGGGACGCGGTACGTGAAGGAACCGATACCCCGGTGGTGAAGGTGCACGGCCCTCTTCGCCCTCTCTTATCCACGTTTCGTTGATAGCCATTACGTCTACCTGATACCGTGACATTGCTACGAGAAACTCATCATGGCGGGTGCCTAGGGAGCCAGCGTTTAAAAAACCGATTGACAGTCTTCTCTTTACTATAAATTGAAAAACAAACGCATAGACAATTTGAGCGTATTTACAGCATAGGATGAATTTACACAAAAGTGTTAAATGTCGCCAACATAATAAAGTAGAAATCCTTATGAAGTAATGTTTTGTAGTATATATGTTTCGATGTATTAGATGTAAGTGTGTGTAGAATGTGTAAAATGTCAAATCTAAATAACGCAAGTATATTTGGAACGTAGTTTGGATCGATGTTGTATGCATAATGTGCGAAGTAAATGAGTTAATATACAAAACCATTGACAAATACTCGTAAGTATACGATTTTAAGTCTAAGAACATGTTAATATTAAAACAAATAATCTTAAAATAAGTTATAACAAAAATAAAAATAAAGAGGTTTTTTGAAGGTAAATTTACAAAATCACAATAACAAAGATAAAACATTACAACAATTAATAAAAAACATGGAATTAATGGTTCAAATATGCCGGAGTTACAAGATTTTAAAATAAAAATGAAAACTATGTTTAACACTTTAAGAGTAAAACATTCAAAGAAGTACATATAGTAACTTATTAAAAATAAGTATACAGTTAACAGCGGCCATAAATAACAATCAAATAAACTATTATTACGAAAACGAAACCAAAGGAGGTATTTCATTTTAAAATGGAATACGCTTAAGAAAATATCAGTGTCATTATTTAGATCAAATTTAATTACATGAACCAACGTTCTCAATGCCCAAAAACTTTAATGAAATCGTGCTCCGAACGTAAGCGATATCGTGGTTCGCCGTTATCTTTACGCACAAAAATTTTCCCTTCCCGAGTCCACGTGTACTTCCACAGGGCCCGCTTGCATTCTACGCGTGCCTTGTAAAACAATTGTCGGTTAAATTTGGTCAATCTTTCATTGACATGGAATGGAGATACGGCAGAATCGAGTCCTAGGCCCT